TCATACTAGGGTTCGTTCACGTTAAGGCGTAGTTTACGACAGTTTGTCATGGATTAAGCCAAAAACGTCAGAACTAAAGAAGAAATCTTGCTCAACATTTTTCAAACTGAACGAGTTATGTTCCGGACACAGATTGTTGCTGGAGTGATTAAGGATGATAGCAGGTCCGTCCTTTCATTTTATGCTTCACTAACCATTATAACAAAACGCAGTTAGGTCCGGCCCTTTACTGAACTATACTAATAAAGGCATCATGCTTTCTTTAAAATGAAACATTTAACACACACTTTTGTATGAAACCTGATAAACTATTCACATAAAATTGCGTCGCAGAAAGTCGAGTAATACTGAGTAAATTATCGATAAAAAACTGCATGATAATTATTTTGGAGAAAAATGATGAGGCTTATTAAAATGCCACATCCTAGTCAAGGATTGTAATCAATCAAAGTAACCCCTGAAACATTCACTCAGGAAAGATCAAGTGTATCCCTTTTTTCACGCCTAAAATGATTAAGGACAAACGAGCATCTTCGCCGGAAAAATCCCTTAAAAAAACTTGCAAAAGGAACGCATTTATTGAAATGCTTATAAAAACTAAGAAATTGTGTTTCGGTTTCTAACGACGAATAAAAGCTCCAGCGCTGAAAAACGATACAACAAAATGATTCAGTTAGACTCAGTAACATGATTCATTGTGGATCATTTAATTCCATCCTTATCACAAAGCTGTATACACAACTGGATGTCCCTTTGACACATTTCAATTTTATCATATCAGCCCTTCTTGCTTGTCGGTTTTTCTTTGAAGTATGTTTTATTTCTGACAACATTTGAACCCGACTTGCTAATTTCGTGTCTTACATTTTGATGATCAATATGGCTGCGATTGCTTTGGAGGTCAACTTATCTTATTATCTACGCGAGCAGTTAAGAGACCATAACTCTAGAGAATTACCAACAAACAAATTGCGCTCGAAAACATATTTGTCTTTCAAATATATGATTGAGTTACACCAATTTATTAAAGATCTTAGCCAAGCCTCGGCAGTATATTTTCTTTAAAAATGTCGCTCCAGTTCAACGTTTTTTTAACTGTTTGTTCCCTTTTCAACCGGGTAGTTTTTGTTCCTCAGTATTGTTCACTGCTTTGTTTTCACAAGCTAAAAGCATTAATGGACATATTCCTGTCTTCCCTCAAAGAAAAACAAATAGTGTATGCGCAAAGAAAGAGACGGTATGGTGTTAAACAGGGCCATCATAGAACTGGCAATAGTATTAAGAGACACCTTAGATGTATACCTCAGCTGTGTAGTAACAGCATCGCATCAAAATGACATAATCTAATTGATTTTTCCCAAAAGAATGTCAACACAGGGTAAGGGTCTTTTACATAAGTAAAGAAAAAACCGTGAATTGTTACCCTTAGAAACCTTAGAAGAGTTGTGCTGAAAACTGCAGAAAGAAATGACTTTTATCCATGATAATACAACTTGCGGCGATAATGATCTTGTGTTTTTACTCCTTTACAATTTATGATTACAAAAAATAGTGAATCATGTTTTTCTGTACATTACTTACTCACTGTGTTCAACGAAGTCGGTTGCTGATTATGGTAGAATTCATCCATTGGTTCTGGGGATGATTTAAGGGAAGACATTAAATTATTACTATGTTGGGAAGAAAAGCATTTGGCACGATCAGGTCTTATGGGCAACCTTATTCTAGGAGTTACAGCGTAGACAACCAGTGTTTGCTGAATTCGACTGATTTGGTACTTCACAGTTCCACCAGAACATGCCCAAGGCCGAAATAGAGGAATAAAACATGAGGTAGTAGTACGAAAGGCGGTTATGCTAAGCTAGAGTTACAATTCAAAATTACTCTGGACTATTATTGTGTAAAAACAAATGTTCCTAGACGGACAAAACTAGAGGAAAATGAATGTAAACAATGTCTGAAAATCGACAAAAAAAATCTAAGGATTCTAATAACCCTTGGTTCAGGCGCTGTGGTTTTTGGCATCTGTAACAAACTCTGATTTGATACAACTTGTTGGCCGGGACTCAGAGAATCACTCTGAAAATGTCATATAGGAATTGATTTCATCGAATGCGCATGCAATGGTAAAATACATTCGGAGCACTAAATCTTTGTATTATTTTGCTTCCAAAGAGAAAACGCCCAAAGTGGATATAACGGCGTGTTAGCAACACAGGTTGATAAGAATATGGCCAGGTTCATAGCCACTAAGGATAACTAGTTACCATTATTTCATCTCGCAGCATTGTCATGGGAGATACATAATCAAAATTACCATAGCAGTTTTAAAATTATGTTTAAAAAAAATGCTGCTCATTAACACCTAAAAGAGAACATTTCATTGGTCACAAAGTATATAAAAAGAATGTAAATCTTTCACATTCCAGGATCTCCCTGTCATGTGGCTCGGCACCCTTACTATTGGAGACCCCCATACACGTGTTATTCACCAGCTCATGGTTACAAATGCAATCACAGTGCTAATTCTCCTCTCTACTGTACGTCTTCAGGTAAGCTGCACATTATGAAGTTAGTTAGCAGGATCCTCAGCTAACTCGAGTTGAAGAAATATGTTAGAACGCATGGAAACAGAAGGATTTATAAAGGCTTGATGATTAATTGAAGCGAAATGTGATATTTTGGCCTAACACACCTCGTCATCGATATTTTCATTTAATCCGATTAACAAATATATTATGTGTTGTCGTGCTTATCACAAATGACGTCAAAATGTAGTAAAAACAAAACAATGGCACACGAAGCGCAGCCGAGTGTGTCACTGATGTTCTTACCGCAATTTTAACGTCTTCTGTGACCTATTGCAGACCTACGGCAACATGGAATCTGCTCTTCATAATAAAAAAGCAAAATATCGTTAATGGTAACGTCATCCAATAGATCACAAGTGAGAACATCAGCCAATCAAAATGCATGTGTAATTTAGCTTATCATAGAAATCCGCATATCTTAGCTGACGTTGTGTGATAACATAGTAAGATAAAATGAGAAGAGATCTATGCTTTTTCTCCACAGATCTCTTCATTAACAGACATCCGTCAACTTCCTCAGAATCTTATACACAGTCTATTCATGAACAATCACGGTCGCGAAGGCCTAGAAGACCCTGGACACGAGCAGTGTTTTCTAACTTACAGCGCAAGGGACTTGAAAAGCGTTTTCAGGTTCAAAAATACCTGACAAAAGCAGATAGACATCAGTTAGCGTCTATGTTAGGCTTGTCAGATAATCAGGTCAAAGTGTGGTTTCAAAACAGGAGAATGAAATGGAGGCAAGAAGCCAGAGAATCTGTTACTAGTACGAACAATGACACACATGATCTCGAGGAGGAAGAAACTTAGCAAAGCCTCCGACAACTTTAAAACCTATTTAATAAAGACTTCGTGCGCTGCGTCAAAATTTCTGAATCTCATCAGCTGATGGAGGATTGTGTTTTACACCAAAGCCGTGAATTTCATGTGTTCATGAGTTAACTGCTCTTTTCCAACATTCAGGAATTCTAAACATTAATTATAACCTGGCCATGACTTATTTAAATTGTCTTTTCAATTTGAAAGATGAGTTAGATTTATTAACATTGCCATGGGGACCATTAAAAAAAGGGTTTAGCTGCCTCTGCGTTCGTTGCACTTTTAAAGACTGTCGTTACGACTATATTTAACACTTCGTTTAAATATTCATAATGCAGGAGTCTTAGTCCGTAGTTTTACGACAGATAAAACGCCCTACATGCTATCGAAGGAAATAAAAATTCTCCATACCCAATTCTGCTGTGCCTCGTGCATGATTGCACACGCGAAAGCCACTGCATACGTTTATTTACCAACTAGCTTCCAGAATCCTCTCTGTTTCTCCCTAACTTTTCTTGAGGGGGAAAGGGAGGGAACCTTGGGTTCGAGGTTGTCTCTTATCCGTATGAAGATGAGAAATTAATAGAACAGAGGGAGGATCGTGCAGTTGGTTGAACGTGTTAATTTAAAAAAGCTTACTATCACGGCCAGTCAGTCTTTTATTCATAGCCAATATTTGCATATTACTATAGTTTATCTATAAACATGTCCACTCACACATACGATGGTCCGCCTGTGATAAAACACCGCCCTCAATTGAACACTGCAGATGAAAGCAAAATTAGCTATAAAAGTCAGAATCAGTCAATTTGATGAGGCGTTTAAACCAGAAATTTACGAAGAAATGACACATCGGGTGAAGCTCTTGAACGCACTAGTTCCTGGTTGTAAACATCACAAGCCAGAATAATGCAGTTCTATCCCATTAAAGAGGCCAGATATTGAAACTTTCAGTTGCCATGTTTCTGTTGTGCATATTTTTGAGACTTTTTTTACCGAATGGATGTCACTAGCTGACGAAAAATGATTTTATACGATGCCGGCCTCGAATAAATGCCAATTAGGCATGCAAAAAAAGGCCATGAGTAATTTTAGGATGAGAAGGGATCAGTTTTGGAGAGTTGTCCACATTTCTTATTATCAATGGAATTAGCTAACACTTTCACCATGACAAAAATCGAACACAAAGCGGCCATGGCTCAATAATGCGTAAAAATTTGCAAGCAAAAGATTCTGAGATATGAAACCTTACTTGGGTGAATGTAAGCCTTTTCCTCTTTTTTTTGCACATTTTACATATCGGTAGTTTCATGACTGAACTCATGAAGTTTAGTTGCCTCGAAGATACGGTATAACTCGAGAGTGCTCTCGGATCTGACTTTAGATAGTTAGACGGCAGGCATTTGGCCTCAACAAAATCAGAAGTCCTAATTCAAATATTAAGTATTAAGCCTTAGACAGTAGAGAGGTAGTAGGCTCAACACATAACCTCTTTATCTATAGAATGCGTTACAGTAAATCGGTCAGCGTTTAACCACACCTCTGGACATTCTTCGTCACCTTACACCACATAGAAACCAGCGGCGCGAAAAGTCAGAAACTGAACCTTTGTGCACGTAAAATAACGTTTGCGGATTTTTTAATTTCTCTCAATGAAAAGTCCACCAGATTTGCACAAAATGAGAAATTAAAGCTGTTAGAGATGGATGGCGACGGATCTACCACAGATGACGATTCAACAGAAGATGAAGAAGACTCAATAACAGCTGATACTGAATCAGGAAAAAATGTAAACAACCCCAACGCTCAAACAAGAGGGTTAGTTAGAGGTTTTAAAAAAACTGTCTTTTTAAGTAAACTTTCCATAATTAATAAGATCGATAATTAGAACTGAAGTTACATTTGTTAAGTTCGTCAATTCTCATTATTTGTCACATCAGTCACATCGATGTTAAGGTTGATGAGAGGAATGGCAATGGCGCAAACTGCTCAGCCTTGAATGATGAAGGGTTATCGACAGCTACATCAGGTTTGAAATTTCTTCGATTTAACTGTATGAGGTAATTTTTGTCGTTTGTTTTTCAGTCATTATATACATTTCTAAAACTAGCTTCTTGTGGCTCTCTAATATTACATGCCTTGACCTTGATGACTTTGTAAGAAAAGTAACAACAGTCAGAGAGAGTGATAGCTTATGGGAAGTAAGCATTGATGATAGGTAGTCACATACTGAGGGCCCATATTTGACTTATTAGTTTTTTCCAAGGATTCTAGAGGCTGAAACTGTTTGTTTGATCATTGGAACAATGCATCTACAGAGTATTTTGGTCAAGGTTAAAAGAAAGCTTGTGGAATCATTGACTATTACAGCACACAATAAGGTTCTCACAGAGATCTTAGGGTCTACTTCTTACTATGCACATTTCCACCCTGCCTCCTGCCTCCTGTTACCATTGAAAAATGACCCATGTTTGGTAAGATTGGATGTGAGCTAGATGAACAGGGTGGTCAAGTTTCAGTACACTAATAAACTTTCTGAGTACAATGAGCAAAAATAAGGAAACCAAAATTATCCCAAACCTCTATTGTTTAGTTTTTTGTTCCTTGAAATATCTTTTTCTTTGGAAATGTTTTGAGGTGAGTCATGGTACTTAATAGTGAAAAACAATACTCAAGAAAAGATGAGTTTTAAGAATGAGGAATCAAACCTCAGACCTTTGGATTCCACCCTCCAATGCTCTACCACTGAGCCACAGAGACTCTACAGTGAGCGAGGTCTTTTACAAAGTTCATATGACATGCATCCTGCACACTTCTAGGATCAGCAATGTTGATAGCGTAATGTTTGTAGGTAGAAATAGTAGAGATGGTAAGTTTTGGGCTTGGAAAAGAAATAAGAAAGATGTTTTTTGTCTTGTCACGCGCATGGGACAAAGAAAAAATTCTTTGTCCCCATGAGGAATCAAACCTCAGACCTTTGGATTCCGTGCTCCAATGCTCGACCACTGAGCAACAGACTCTACAGTCAGCGGGGTCTATTATGAAGTTCATATGACACATGTCCTGCACAATATTTCACATAGAAAGTCAGTATTTGTACATAATGTAAGCCTTATTTTTGTGTACTAGGGGCAGTTTGTTGGGCTTTATTTTAGAACATATTGCAACTACAAGTAGGCCATTGATTTTGAAGTCTTTATTAACCTATCAATTAGTCATTGAATCAAAGACCATTTCTTCTGAGTCATTAACCTGCCAAAGGGAGCTCATTACCTTTAAACACCTCCATATCAAAACATGAAACAGTTGTATTCTGCTGGAAAGACTTGATGCTTCTGCTTCAAGTCCCTCATCCTACTCCTTCAAGGTTCAAATTCCTGTCCCTGGGCATGGCTGACAGTCATATGCCCATGTGTAACCCAGGGGGAGGGGGAATGTTTAAGCTTTGAATTGATTGGCACAATATTAGTGAGAAAGTTAAAAACATCTTGTAAGAACACCAAACCATGCAATTGATTGCATTTCCCACTGTTTTGTTGTCCTCTGGGAACTGATCTATTATCTATTGCAAAGGAAAATCGTGGAAAAGTCATTGTTAGGTATGATCATATGGCTAGCTACAACTGTACAAGTGCACATGGGAAATGAAATATTTTTTAATCATTTCGTAGAAGCTTATATTATTATTAACTCTGTGAATTTTTTAATTAAAATGTTTTTTTTAACTTTCAAAGTGAATTCTAAACTCTGTCCTAAATAGTGTTTTGTCATTATATTGTGAAAGAAAATTTTTATAAATGTGTACAATTAACTGCCCCTTTTCTAGATTTTAAGTCCTTTACTACAGAGGACACTACATTCTTTACTCACCTGAAAGGAAATGAAGCTGAAGAAACCATGAGGTTGGTATTGTAATACATGTACCTCTAAGCTCAACCTTTTTTCAAAGTCACTACATAAGTATTTGGCAACCTAAGGTCATATAGTTGTTGCCAGAAGTAAAAGTGACACAGTTTATATGAGACCTGACCTTAACATGCTTAACATGCAATTTTTTAAACATTTTTTTTTTAAAGAAAATTTCAAACTCTATTAGTGAGCAGCACTTTGTAATCAGTTACAAAAACTGTCTCCAGAGTGCACTTCATTGGTTTAGTTTTAAATCTTCAATAAAACATTTCTGATCATTGCTGAGCTTTATCACAAGCAAAATACAAGATGCTGGTCCAAAACATTGATGAAAATTGCAAACTGCTGCAATAGCAGGATCTGCAAATTCTGTCAGAATCCTGGCAAAAATACTGTCAAAATCCACTGATCCGTTTGCTTACTCACCCCCCTCTTAAAGGTAAAATTAACAGATAAAGCCTTAATCTGAAAAAAAAATTAAATACTTTAAGGACCCCTGAACAATGAAGTGCCTGTATGAAACAGTGTTTCATTACATCAACTTTTAAATGAATGCAGAGGGCACCTACAGATTAATTAAAAAATTGTTCTGTGGTTTACAATTCTTACATAGATTTAAGTATGGCAACTATGAAGCAGTTACCAAAAGTCCTCAACAGGAAAAGGCAGATTTGAGATCCAACAGAGGTATTAGCAGTCTTCAGTAGTTAGGCAACTTAAGTTTACATCAGTGCTCTTTTTAGAGGGTGTCATATTTCTACTTCACCCTTGAATCAAAAGAGAGTTGTAGAGCACATTTTCTATTAGAGTTAAGTAGAATTGAAATTGTCAATCTCATGTTTGACCTGCAAGCACAAATTTTAGTCTTGATTGATGTAACTTGTACATCTACAGACCAGAACTGGGAGAGGTGATAAAAGTGAGTTAGAAATGTTGGGAATATTTACAAGTCATTGATAGCATATTTGAAATAAGCTTGATTGTAGATGTACAGTACTTGACTGTAGATGGTTATTATTGACCAATTAAAGAGAAAGGTGTTTAAATATCCATTTCCTTTTAATGTTTTAAACCATTTTTGCCAAATAGATCATATGCAATCAAAGGCAAGGAGCAGAGGGAAAGGTATTGATTTTACAATATGTTTATTGTATTGTTACAATTATATTTTCCAGCTTGGAAGAATATCCATGTCCTCTTCAAGGAATTGCCAGAGACAATCTTCTTAAACAATTGTTTCTGAGAATTCTAATAAAATTTTTTGATCTCTTGAACACTTCAAGGTAGCAATTTTTAAAATATTGCTCTCCTCACTTTATTTTCAATACATGGTCAGAACTTTCTCTACCAACTTGTTCCATCATGTGTTCAATTATTCCTAAAGAAATCAATTCATTTTACACTAGAGTCAGTTTACTTCAAGATTTGAAATAAAGAAAGAAAAAAAACAAGACTAATTATAAGGATAATGAGACAGGTTTCAAATGGTTGATAGACAAATGTTGATATCTGTACTGCATGAGAACATTTGTAAGAATCACCAAATTTTACGGAGGATCATGTCCTTTGGGACACCTCCATTCATGGGACACAAACAAGGGTCCAAAAAAGTGTTCATATAAACTTTTTGTTTCTTACTTATGACAAATTACAGACACCTCTATTCAGAGGAAAGGGACACTTTTTGTGGGTTTCAAAGTCTGGTGTTGACCTCCATTCAGGAGACAACTGAGCCAGTCACTCATGTCTACAAGGCAGCTAAAATTGCTATTGTTCCTTGGTATCTTTGTAGAGATGGAAATAATCTCTCTATTAAAATAGAAGATTTGAAACAGTAAAATATGATTTAATTAGTTGTTCCAGTTACCAAGGTGTACTCAGCAAACTCTATTATGTGACTGTGTATAGCACCAACAAAAAATCAATGTATACACAAGATTGCAGACATTTCTGTTAATCATATTTATTTCATACATCATATGGCTGCTTGAATTGACATCTACAGGAGTTTCCAAGCCAAAATAATAACGGGTTGGGGTTTTTTAGTTAATCATGAGCAAAAGACCAAGTTAGTCTCTATATTCAGAGGCCACTTTCTCTGGTCCTTGAGGTGTCCCTTCAGTGAGGGTTTTACTGTATTTAGTACCTTGTGGGAACCAAGTCAATCACTCACCTTTGAGTTAAAGCTATAAGAGTATTGAAGCCCTTGGGTTTTACTCATTATAAATTATTTATTAATTCAGTATATTTTTAACAGGGAAATTAAATGTTTCTGTCCAGTATAACAACAAATCACTTGGTAGGAGGACTTCAGTGAACAAGAAAAACAGTTCCTCTGTCATTCAGAATGTAGAGGAGGAATGCAAAATAATAAAACACAGCAGAAATTCTGCTAAATCACCAAGCTCAACAGCAAATCCAGGAAATACAAGTTTTGAGAAGGCTAAATTGAAAATCAGTGAGAGAAATGAGTCATATGTGGATAATGAAATGCTAGCAGATGGTAAGCTATTCAGAATAAACAACTGGATTGGCTCATTGTTTATCTTTATGTTTAGTGTTTGTTGTGTTTATCCTTATCTTTGGTGATAAACTCATCCTTCATGGACAATGCATCTAACATAAAATCTACATTAGTCAGAGAATGAAATGCCTTCATTGATACACCTACCACACCCCTCCCATTCCTCTGGATTTAACAATAATGAGGAGAAAGTTTCAATCTCAGTCTTAAGTCACCTCAGCTATCAGTGTAGTTCTATTCAATGAAATTATCAGTATCTTCATGCCTGGTTTGAGTGCTATATTTTGGTGGTGCACAGGCAGCCCAAGCTCCAGCTGTGAGATGATAGTCATGCAGAATAAGAGTCATGGCCAAAATATGAGTTTGTATGGGAATATTTACAACTGCTCTTAGGAATAAAACTTGAAAATACAGTCAATCTTTCAATGAAAATACCTCACCTTACTTTCATGGTGCACAGCTTGTTTTCTAACCACTTACTTTGAAAGAAAGACTTTCTCTTAGGAGTAGTAAACCTAGAAATGGATAACTTGCTAAAATTCCTTATTTTCAACATAGTAAGCGGTCAGACAACAAGAAATGCTCTGTGGAGATAAGGTTAGGTATTTTTATTTCCTATGAGCAGTTGTGAATAACCCCTTACAGACTCTTATATTTTGTAGCAAGGCCCATGGGAAGTATGAAGTAAATGCTGTGTTTTGATTGGTAGGCAAGATGGGCCCATCTTCCCCACTTGGTATTGCCTGCTCTGATCCATTGCAAAAAAAAAAAAAAAGGGCATGGAGGGGACTTGAAAGTTCATAACTGTCAGACTATGTCAGCAATGAAGTCACAAAAAGTGGCAGAAGACAGTCAAAACAAAGAAAACATGAACAAGGTTCCTGGGTTTATTGTGCTACAAACACAGTTGTCTTTCTTTCCTGGCTCTCAAATCATTTAAACAAGTCATTCTTGATTTTTACTAAAGCAAAATCTTTTTGCAATATGAAAAATCCTTTATTGTCCAAGCTTGTTGGTTTAAGATGGCTGGATATTAGCCTTGTTCTCTTTTGGCCTTTTTATGGACGTTGACTTCATCTTGGTACATAGAAATGTAAGGAAAAGAACTTGGCCAATATCAAGTCATCTTGACCTCCCACTTGGTCAATAATGCATACATGTATGCAATGCTTAATGATGTTCAGGAATATTCAACAATTATTGTACTTGTATTTTCATGTTATTATAACAGGTTTTGATGATCAAGACATGATAAGACCATCTTTCACAGAGCCAGCCTTGGGTCCTTCAGTACCTTTTATTTTGTCCAAACCTGGAGTTGTTCCAGTGATTCAGGTTAGCATCATCATGAGAAAATATTATATTCAATTAAGTCAGATCCTGAAAGTACTGGACCATCCATGGGCAATTCCTTTCCAAAATAATCACCCTCTCAATTCCTTCAGACTGTAACTCTCTTCCCTAGATGTACCTCATTCTAAGGGTGAGCACTACTTTACTATTACTTGGAACCCACAAAGGTTTGCTTTTGACCTTTTAAGGAGTTTTTGTTTTCTTACTTTACTCCCCTTAGTTTTGTTGAGTTTTATTTAGGTATTTAAATATTTTATTATTGTTTTTTGGAGTTAAGTGGACATTTGTTTATAATACTTGTCTGTCTGTTGCTAGGATGGTGTTCATTTCAATATTCTTCCACTAGGCAGGGAATACTTAAGATTTCTTTTTAATGACATTAAACCATCCGTTGGTTGTGGTAAGAGAAACGAGTGAAGGACAAATATGGAAGTAATTAGTAATTTGGCTGAGCATGTGGGGCCAGGTTGATTTAAATTCAGACTACAAACCTCACATACATACCCTTGAATTATACACACTCCATCTTAAGTCTTAATATGCTGGTCATAACATAAAATTTGGTGAAATTACAAAACTGCTACAAATTACCTTTTTATTTATGCTAACAGAAGCTTGGTTTTTTTCTACCAAAAAAGTTTGCTCCACTTCCCTCTCTTTCTAAATCAACAGTTTTCATGATTTTTAAGAGCTAAGGGGAATTTCTTTTTTACCACAAAATTTTCCTCTCAGATTTAACCAGTTCTGGTGCTGCATCAACCAAATTAAGTAATAAACAGTGCTTCTTCAGATTTGAACTTTTTGTTATTGACTCAATTAATTTAGAGATCTTGTTATGCCTCATGCCTTATTTTCAGATTTAATGTGTTTCTTATTGTACCATGTACTTAATACTCCTTGCAAAGTAATTATGTAAACGACGAGGCATTAAAGCTGGCTGTTTTGGGCAATTTTGAGCAATGAATCTTCCCTTTTTGTGGTAATGCCACATTTATTAATTCCATCAAAGCCTGAAAATCTCCAGATACACAGGTTAGAATTTCATGACCCCATTATTTCCCTTATCTGAATAGACAATTGCACATCTTTTACCAGATATTACTAACGAAGATTTTTTCCAGCAGATTCCAGCAACAATCAATTCCTATTTGCGGCAATATCAGAGAGATGGAGTCAGCTTCTTGTTCCAACACTACTCTGAAAATACTGGTGCCATTCTTGGAGATGACATGGGTTTGGGTAAAACGGTTCAGGTAAGAAGTTTATCTTAATTACCTCAATTACCTTATCACATAATGAAACCAGGTAGGTTTTTTATTGCTGAACTAATCCTAATTCTCTGAGGTAACTTCTTGAGAAAATTTCTTATTTGAATTTTGGAAAATGAAATCATCAGCGTTACTAAATTAGTGTTTAGCTACACTGTACTTGCCTTGGAGCAAATAAATGTGCCGTGTATATTCTCCTGATTGTATAATTTATGAAATCAAAAGCATAAAGTTGTAGTAAAACTTTGCTCACGAAACAAAGGTGATTGCAGATAGGTTTTGCAAGGAGAAGTACTAACTTGGTCGGTAAAAGCATTGCTTTCCATTTCCCCAAGAATTATATAAAGTAACATTGCAATTCGCTCTTTTATTCGATTTGGCCGCACGCTTCCACCCACAGAAGTGGTAAACGTTTAGTTTGTCTTCACAAAGAAACGTAGTGGATTTAGAAGGGAGAATTGCAAACTGATTGTGAGCTTATTTGTTTTGCAGATAGACGTAAGTTAAAGTCAAATTTTGTGCTAGGAAATTCTCACCCTTTTTTGAGATTGTTGGAGTTCAATATTATCCGTCCAAAATCTTAGGAATCTTAATCTTAGCAATATTACTTACTCAGTAATATTGAAGACTCAAGTCTTTTTCAGTTTCCCTCTTAAAATTTCGCAAATTTTTCCCAAAATATTTATAAAAGCAAGAGAACAAGGTACCCGTTTATTTTCCAGGCATGTTTTATAAAAGAAAAAAAACAAGCCTTGTTTAGTGTCCCGATCGTATGACTAATAATAGATCATTTCACTTATGATTTCCAGGTTATTTCCTTCATTTCTGCCATTTTGGGTAAAACTGGAACCAAAGTTGATATATTCCGCAAATTCATGGATAGAATGGCGCATGAAAAACAGGTTAGTTTCATATAATAGAGGGGATATGCAAAAACTGATTCGATCAATCTGAGACTGAAGGGTGAAAATCTAAACAAATTCCCTTTGATTTTCTTTACAATGCTCTCCCTCATTGGTTAAAAAACGCGCCTACTTTATATTTTACCGATAGCATTTGTTAATGTTCCTCCGCTTACTGCCGATTGCGTTAAATTAATTTGTGTTCTCATCGGTTAGATTCCTCAGTCTTTTCGCGCTTAACGCTGTATCCTTGTCTTCCCATGAGTTCTGATTGCTCGAGTTTGGTGCCTTTGCTCTCAATTGCCTTCTGCGTTCGAAAGGATCCTTTTCGTCAACAAGACACAACCGATGTGTTGTTTAATCTCTTTAAAATGTCCTTCTTGAAGTAAGAGTAAGCCAAGGGGTTGACAGCAGACCTTTAACACCAAGATAGGGATTATAAATTCGTGATCATTGCATGAATTTTGACCAGAAGCGAAACTAAGTAATATGATGCAACGCAAATAAATTCCTTTGCAAAGAAGAAATATCCCTGCTATTATTCCCATCATTAAAGCAGCAGCTTTTTCCTGAGGTTTGAAAAAAAAACCTGATGGCTGAAGCGTAACTGTTTTGCTACTTTCAACTGCGATCGGTATCATCCAAGAAAGGAAATCATTTGAATGAAGTGGCGATTCTTCATAAAACTCAAGTATTTGAAAGGCTTCACAACAGCCATGAAGCGATCAAACAGCACAAATTTATTACGGATGCGTTCGCAAAAAGGTTTCTCGCAAAATACATCACAGAATGTTCTGGGGTGCACCCATCTAACTTTTAGCTGGTGAATAGTGACTGCCATTCCGACAGAAATCAGCGACCGCAAGTGAAACAGTATTGAAGAAAAGCCACAAACAACCATTACAACGTTTCTAATCACTGAAGTATCAATCTGGATTTTAAACTTGAAGAT